TAGATAGATAGATAGATAGATAGATAGATAGATAGATAGATAGATAGATAGATAGATATGACTTGGGTGTGGCAATTTAGATTGCTTGCAATTCCTTTTGGTTTTGTTGATGACATAATCCTAAGTAAACATGGCAGTCTTCACCATTTGCTGACCCCCAGATACACTGGAATTCCAACTGTCTAAATTTTCCAATCGGTGTTGCCTTGCAGGCTGGGAATGCCCAAAAATTGTAATCCAGACACACCTGGAAAACACCAGCTTGGGAAAGGTTGAAATATGATGCTAGGAAATGTGATGTTCAGCTAGCACAAAACGCGCTGAGAATATACCAAGCCACTTTATACCAATGCAGAGCAGTAGTCATTTTAGTTAAATATCATCTACACTGACTCTATTCAGGATTATTTACCAGGAGGGGGCACCAACGTTTGCAGAAGTACAAAATGGAAATCTATATCCAAAATAAACAGTTTAGTGAGGTCTGAGAGTAGTCAATGAGATTTTGTGGGCAAGAGGAAATAGCAGCCGTTGGCGTCCGTGGAATGGCACATGATGTCACAAACATTACGACATCATCACACAAATGGCAGGAATTCAATACTGTATGTCATTTGCATCATGAGATTGCTGCAAAATACCTAAAACTGTGCCATTTGTATGCCTAAAGTCATAGCCCAGAAAGTGTTCCATGCTGTGCTACTGATGTCAGTTTTGATGTTACTTGCATGTGAAGCGTTGAGAATGGCTGCAGCTTCCCAACAGCTTCACTTCCCCATTGTCCCTCTGGCTTATCAGGATCTCAAAAAATCTAGGGCCAGAAGCAAAATCAGAATCCCTTAGACACAGCTCTGTGGCCTCTCAGTTCCAGAGCTACGGGTGCTCAACTTTTCCCTTCTGAAGACCCAAACTTCTTGGATCATTAGCCAGCTAGCACTCAGCAATTGTCTACTTTTGGGTGGTGGTGATATAAATAGCGCTGTGATTTAGATACAGAAATACAGTAGTTATTGCTTTAATGACAGTGCCATCATTCTTTCTGCTTCCTCTTTCTGCCTCTAAAGGCTAAAAAAGAATATCCCCTCCTCACTATTTACTAGTTTCCCTGCCCATGAATATAAGGTACAATCATACTAATTAATTAAAATGCAGCCAGAGAAACACACAGCAGGTTAAAATAGGATGGCAAATCATTAACAATAAAGCTGCCAAACAGTGAAGCAATAAAGCAATAAAACGCTGATACCCTGGAGTTCGATCAGTCATTATCAGAATGTTTTATTTGGTTTTCTGTTCACATATTTGTGTTTTTTTCCACAGTGGCTCTTGGCCAGATTGGGAATTTCTTAGCTTATACTGCAGTTCCTACTGTTCTGGTGACTCCGCTTGGAGCACTTGGAGTTCCATTCGGGTAAGGATTATTTCTGTTCTGCTTTTTTTTTTTTTCCTTCAAATCAGACTATCCCTTTGGGTACCTGTCTTCTATGCAGCGGGGTTCAATTTTCATTCCTATTATTGGTTTTTATTACTGCTACTGCCAATAAGTATTTAATTGTTTCTCTGTTCTATTCATCTGCATTGAAAATAACCTAGTGGTTTTTTTCCCCCCTATCTTCCCTTTCGATCCTTAGTTTAAGAAAGAGATACCAGTTGTGGATTTTTAAAGGTTTCTTTCTACCCTCTGAAATGTGCAGATAAAGCTTTTTTTTTTTTTTTTGCAAAGAAAGCCATTTTCAAAGGTTTACTGTGAGGCTGGACAGATGTTTTCATCCCTCTAATACTGAAATGTAAATGTGCTTAAAACCCTCAGCTACTCAAATAAACTGTCCTTGGATTCTCAGAGATCCTGGCTTAAATGAGGTGCATCCTTTGAATTTTTCAATTAGTTAAGTGGCTCTCCTGGTGTTTCTTTTGAAAGTTCATGCTCTGGAATTGTATCCTGGGCTAAAAAGTGATTTAATCCCCAGCAAGTCACAGTAAGAAGATAGGCTGATATCTCTAGGACTTTGCCTCAGATAGCTATCCTTTCTCAAATAAATCTTTAGGTTAACGTCCATATATTGTATTCCTGTTGGGCTTTTTTGCCACGCATTGCCCTGTCCTCTCTCTGTCCAAAGCATCATGAAGTAAGCCTCAAGGGCAGCTGGTATTTTTAAAAGAGGTTTCACATCTCTGGTGCTGCACAATCCTGCTGGATCTGTTAAGAAAACCAATCCTGTATGAGCAGCTGCAAGAAATGTTCTATAGCTTAAAAAAAATCCCACATGCGTTTTGCAGGAGAAATCCAGTCAAAGGATGCCTTTCATTGATACAAAATGCAGCAGGGAACCACTCCTTTCCTATTTTGCATTCCCACTTGCCAGACCAAACTCAAATGTTAAAATGTAGCCCAGATTACTGGCTGGGGAATTCTGGGAGTTGAACTCCATACATCTTAATGTTGCTAAGGTTAAGAAACACTGGTTTAAACCAACAAAGAAAGCTATCTTCTGAAACAAAGGCTGTTGAATAATAACTTACAGAAGGGACATCGACAAGGGGAATCAAAACAGTCAAGAAGATGGCCCCAACTGAATGAATAATAATCCATGATTATGTGCATCACATAAAAAAGGGCCAGGAGTTCAATCACATGGTTGCCACTTTGATTTTTGGAACACTTCTTTGTGGACGCCCCATCTTATTGCATGTAAAACTTGATTCAAATGTTCTCTTTGACCCTCTTTTTCTAAGGTCCATTTTAGCTTCCTATCTACTGAAAGAGAAACTGAACATTTTGGGCAAATTGGGTTGCCTCCTGAGCTGCGCAGGTTCTGTTGTTCTCATCATTCATTCCCCAAAGTCCGAAAGTGTCACCACTCAGGCTGAACTTGAAGAAAAGCTTACAAATCCAGGTATTTAATTCTTTCGGTTAACCATGTTGCCAAGTAAATCTGAGTCACAAGAAAAAGACATAGAGAAGTGTAAGTTGCTCCAACATGTGATATTGGCTCACTTTGTGTTTGTTGCCAAATAACGTTGTGTTGTAAAAGGAATGCATCGATTCTTTCCTGCTCTTTCAACTTTAATTATGGGAACTCATTTGCTCCACAATCCTAAGCATAACTCTTTTTTTAACCAGCTATTGGGAAATAAGTTAGACTTATTTCCCAATAGCTACAGTCAGAGTTACAACTGTAGAAAATAAGGCAAGAATAACATAAAAATAAGAAATAAAATTTAAAGAAAAAATTAATGAGGCTTAAAATAAGCTTGCTATCTTACTAGGTAAAGATTTTTATATAGTTCATTGAATAATAAAGAAGAAATTAGTTGTACTTGTGCATAGTTTCAATTCATGGGGTTTAAGCAGCCTTATTACTCGGGATTACAAATAAGTGCTATGAATGTATAAATTCAACCAAGGAAGGCTGGAAATTAAAATAGTAAGTAATGATCTTAGATGTAATAATTATTGTTAGAGTTCATAGAATAAAGGATAATGTATAGTTCTTGTATTTATTTGAATGGCTTTTAACACAAATGGAAGGAATCCATTGGTCTCTTCCAGCTCTGTTTGGGATTGCAGCTCCCCAGATTCTTAGCCAAAGACCATGATAGCTAGAAGTTCTGGAAATTGTAGCTCCAAATGGACCAGATTGGGGAGGATCTATATATAACACAATTGATTTAGTGGTGAGTGAACCACTGACTGCTTCCAAGAATAGGCATGATTAATAAGCTATTTGTGGTTAACATATATCCTATCGTAGCACGATATGCAAACTCTGAACTGCAGTTTTGTCTCCCTGAAGAAATCAAAAAATAAAGCATGGTCTATGCTTAGTTACTTATGGCTTTATTCTCAGACTTTTTCCAGATGTAGGAGGAGATAAGGGTACAAGCTTACATGGCTTAATTAAGCCTGATGACTGACCAGCCCATGATGAATAACATGGAAGATGATTTAGATATGCTCTGCAGTACTCAATTTATATGAAAACAAAAAAATGCATTTTGAAAGATCATTTTTTTAATCAAAAGTATAGTTTGCCATGGTAAGTTAAGCAACAGACTATTAAAACCAGGAGCACAAATTAGGGATTGCATATTATGGTTTGATTCAGAGGGGAAACAAGGACTTAAGAGAAGGAATGAGTGTCTACGGACAACCCTCACAGTCCTTCAGGTAGTAGTCTTTCCAAACCCAATCCTTTCCAGATGTGTTAGGGTACAGTTCCCATTACACTGGAGTGCCAGCTGGGAAATAAAGGTCATTCCAATCTAAAGGCCATTAAGCTAAAGAAGTTTACTGCAAAATATAATTTGGAAGATTGTCTGTTTCAAGCCAGTGTGAGTTAATGTCAACTATATAAACGATGTACAGTATGGATGATTGTAATTTCCAGAATTTTGGATATACACCATATAATATAGAATTGTCTTCATAAAGTAGTATTTGGTAGAGCTTAATTATGCTATTATATTCTCTTTGTTTTTCAGTATTCGTGGGTTACCTCTGTATTGTGCTTCTCATGCTGCTTCTACTTATCTTTTGGATTGCACCCGCTCATGGACCCACTAACATTATGGTTTACATCAGTATTTGCTCATTGTTAGGAAGTTTTACTGTGCCTAGTACCAAAGGAATTGGACTGGCTGCTCAGGATATCTTTCACAATAACCCATCAAGTCAAAGAGCATTATATCTGTGTTTGGTTCTGCTAGCAGTATTGGGATGTAGTATAATAATTCAGTTTAGGTACATCAACAAGGCACTAGAATGTTTTGACTCCTCAGTGTTTGGTGCCATCTACTATGTAGTATTCACCACTCTTGTCTTGCTGGCGTCAGCCATTTTGTTCAGAGAATGGAGTAATGTTGGTGTTGTTGACTTCTTGGGGATGGCTTGTGGGTTCACCACTGTATCTATTGGAATTGTTCTTATACAAGTCTTCAAAGAATTCAATTTCAATATCGGTGATTTGAATAAGCCTAATATGAAGACTGATTAAGTTCTTAATGTTCAAAGGAATTGGATAATCCAGAGAATGATAGCATCTTCAAATTTTTAGGCCAGAGAAATGATAGCATCTTTAATTTCTAATCTTTGAGAATAACACCGCCTTTCATTCCTTGCTGGAATATGTGAAATGAATTAGCGTTCTTAATTCAATTTCTCTAGGACTATTGTCATGCTTTGTATCTTATGGTATCAAATGAATGATTTTCTAAACCTCATAGCAAATGGGATAAGAATTGCATCACCACAGAAGCTAATGTATTTCTTTATCCTAAAAGATTATTTATGTAGTGTAGGATTGAATTATTTTGGCGTATAAAGATCCAGGAATCTTTTCAAATGGTTATCCAGAAACTTCTGGTTGTGTGAATCAACTGTCAGCACTTTTTGTCTGCAACTGAGCAAATGCCATGAGTGATCAATAGCCCTTTTTAAAAATGTAGATACACTTCAAAAACTAGTTGGGATTTTCTTTCTATTTAACTTTTCAGCTATGTATCAAACTTCATTATTCTTCCGGATGTATTTGAAGATTCCACAACCATTGCTACAGACTCTGTGTGTTGATATGGTTCGTTCTTTCTCTGATTGCCTCTGCAATTTGGACTGATGATGTGGAATTCATAATTATGTCCAAAACTAGGGCAGTGTGTTTATATCTTAACATGTGTTCTCTCTCATACCAGCTGAAAGTTGCTCACAAATCTAAGTAAATACAGCACTTAGTTGACAGCTATGCCTTTTGTTCACATGAAGCACTTAATGTATGTCAACACATTACATTAATTCAGGAGCTTTTAATTAACATAAAACAATGTGAGGGATGTGATAGATCATAACTACTTACTACCTTTTTTGGTAGGTCATTTGTAAACAGCTGGAAACTACTTCAGTGCCTTTTCTATTCTAACAAGATAACTTTCATGGGGCAGTTTGTGTTCTCTTAACATTTGGGTGTCCTCATGCTTATCAACCTATAAAAGCAGAGAGAGACTAAAATGATATTTGAATTACTATGGGGTAACTTCTATGCACTTCCAACTGGTGTTTGTTTAGAACAGAAGTATTCTATTATAATAATATTAAATTACATTTCCTAGACAGTTTTCCCTAACAAATCCCAGTAAACTATTGCATAGCATCTTTTGTCAGGTTTTGAACTGGCACTTTTAGAGTTAAACTAGGCATTATGAAAGGAATTTGTGAGATGAAAGAAAAATGTTGATTTTTGTTAAGGGAAAAATATCCAGATTGACTAAGTGATTCTTCAGCAGGGTCTGGAAATGGTTGTCACTAACGTGGAAGAACAGAAAAAAACAATGGGCTTTTGTTTCCACTATACTAAAGAACAAACCCCTCAGTATAAAAAACTGCTAAATTAAAGTAGGATTTTTTGATTCAGAAATTAAGGGTTGTTTTTTTCCTAGGTAACTTACTAGATTTGATTCAGCAGCTTTGAGTGTGTTTGCAGGTTCCTTACCGTGACTTGATCTAAAGATAGTGAAGTCTGTCATAGAAATAACAGTTTCATGTCAGTTTCAAAGAAATACTGTATAAAATAGGTACATGAATACTTTGCCAGACCAGTTTTTATTTATTATTATGTATGCCCTTTTGTTGAACTTGTAAGCATACATTACTTTTTAAATTCACTGCATTTAAAATTAAGTTTCTGAATTCAGGAGGCATATGAGCCACAGGTGCTTGTGAGGGGAACAAGAAACACACTATGCACCGAGTGCAAACTCTGCCCTTATATATTTGCTTGTGATGTCATGATGCAAGTACAAAATACTGGCACTTGTGTCATTATGTCATGACACACATTTTGTTGTTTTGGCATCATCAGAGTTAGAAACAGACTCTGGCCAATATCATAGGTGTCTGTCCACACCCTCAAGCATTTTTAAGCATACTTGATCTTCAAAAGCAGTTTCTGACAATAACATTATTTGTAGTGTGTGCAGAAAGTTGCACAGGGCAGCTGCTTTTCCCAGTGGATATAAGCAATCACTGTAGAAGTGTTATGATTCCTCTTAAATTCTGAAAATTGCAAATGGGAAGTCACTTTCAAAAATAAGGTAGCTTACTATAAGGGCTCTTCACACGTTAGGGATAAAGATTGTTTGACTGTATGTATGTTTAAAAAAAGATCAAAATCCATACTAATAGCTAGTTGAACATTTGGAACACTGGAAATTTGAGTGTGTGTTATGGATGCTGTCACTTAATGGCAGCCTGAATGGGGGTTCTTATTCCCTATAACAGACACCACGGGAATGAAGGGGTGCATCAGAATATAGCCAGTCATAAAACACCCATTTTACAAAGGGTAACTAGCGTCTCACTCCCTCTACCACACTGAGCTGTCCCTACTACCCCAGCTGACTGTTGTGGTTTTTATGGGTGGATGGCCATGCTTCAGAACAAAGCCCATATACTGGGCTTAGACATTTTTGGAAATAAATCATGTTAAAGTCTGGCTTTCTTTTAAAACACACACACACACACACATCCCCAAAGCCAGGTGGGGCAAGGAGCCTGCTAAGTGCCAAGGGAAAAATCCACAGGCAGATTGGCATCAAAGGCGTCATTTTGCCACTTCTCTCCCCATCAGAATAAATAACTTCTGAAGTAACCTTTAATCAACCTTTAATCTGCAAACACTGGTTTGGCTTGCTTTATTTATTTAAGAAATATCTATGCTGTCTTCTTCCAAATGGCTCTAGGTAGCTTACAAGCCAGCCATTATTTCTAATGATCATTAAAATCTTCCTGTAATGCACAGAGAGGTTAAAGAAAGGCGCTGATATGGGGAAGATAAAAATGTTTGAGTCTCTCCCAAATGCTTGAGCAGAGATCCACTCACTCTGCTTGCCAGAGAAAATCTTGAATGCTTATACAAGCTGGTGTGGCCTTTTAGCTCCTGACCTTAATCAGTATTCATATCCATTATCAGTATTATTACCTATAGCTATTTTCCGATGTTACTTTTTAAACAAAGTATTCTGGCCATTTGACAGTGATCCGGTCACATTTTATTAATTCTAGCTTTTCAGTTTGGGTGATTTCAGTTTTGTTTTCCTTGAAATATTATTTAGGGACATGGCTTGAGTATTCTAGAAATTATCACAAATTACAGCTTGTTATTTATGCTGTTTTTCCCTCTGTGAAAAAGCACCTAATCTAGCCTGCTGGTAATAGTGCACATTTAAAATTGTATACACATTTAAAATCCATCAGCTGTTCTTTACTGATTGAGGCATTTGTTGGGATATCTTGGCTGGGACAACTAATATCTGTTCAGAATGGTAAGAGGTATGTCACTATTCTCCAAATAACGCTTCAGGGCAAAAGTGTATTTTGTCATCCAAGCTTGTAAGCAATGCTACAATTTAGTAGTAGTTTTGTTTTATATGTATGTAACATTAAAGAGTAGAATCTTATAAGTTAAAATGTTTTAGAAAAACCATTTTTGGACAAGCTATTACCAGATCTTGATCTAAAATAATTAAGCTACTAGATGACACCTACCAGCCAGCCACTCCTAGCTTTGGTAGCAGTGGGTAGAGAGTCAACTGACACCATAACTGGGTTCACACATTGCACTAAGCTACATATAGTTAGTTTGGCTTTGGCTTTGTTGTATGAAGTAGTCATCATAGTTTATACAATAAACTATGGTTAAGCAAACTATGGGTATGTGCCCTATGCAATCCAAGTTTCCTTGTGCTGCTGTTACCCTTCAGCAAGGCATTCTAGATAAAGAAAACTTTTTGATAAGGATGACATACATATTGTTATTTATCATCTGGGCTTTGAGTTTGATGCCTGCTAGGTTGAGACAGCCTTATAGCTAAATTCCAGAAAGTTGTATGTTTCACTGGCATTCTGTGTAATTTATATCTGTAGCATCTAACTTTTTAGATGGTAAATATAGAAATACTTATTTTTGCTACTTATTTTAACAAATTGTATTATTTCCTTCCCTTTTGATTTTCTGTCTATAAAGTTACCAACAATAATAGCAATACTAGCACTGGACCTGCTTCCATTTCCTGATTTTTTTAATGTTTCTTTTTTCTGTTAATATTTTGCTATGTTTTTTAAAGATGCAGTGATTAAATTATTATAATGTTAGAAGTGGTATGCCATACAGGGCAATAAATGTGCTGGTATCTCTTGAACTTTGGTCTTCCTTAAACCTCGACATGCCCTTACTAGAGTATTACCTGATTCATATACACAGGCTACATTGGTTACATTCATCAGGAGGAAACAATGCTTGACTTGTTATGGGAAATGTGAGTTAGGGTTCCTGGTTTACACATAATACCACACAAATTGGACTGTGGAAGGACTTGGAATTGGACTAAGGAAGAACTTTGGTCTTCCTTAAACCTCGACATGCCCTTACTAGAGTATTACCTGATTCATATACACAGGCTACATTGGTTACATT